CAAGGGGGGTTTAGTAATCTATGGATACACACACACACGCATCCTGAAGCAGGCTTTGCCAAGCATGGCAAACTTGTGCAACTACTACAGCTCCTGCTCCAGCATCAGATACCCCGCCTACAGTACAGTTTCGTCTTTTTGGGGAATCGTTCTTATTGAGTGGGTTGAACACCATACATGATCCTTTGTCCTCTGTTGCGGGGGACCAGTTCCTCCCTTTGAATGACCTCTTTCAGCTGTTGCTTGTTTTGGTTGGATCAAAGAAAATTATCCTGAATCTGAATCCTTGCGAATGCGATCTGTGTGATTTGGTCACAGCAGGCGCGGCCCAGTTGAACCCCGCACCTTCGGGTAACCAACCGCGAGCCGCGAAGGCTCTTGCGCCACACTTGAGTCGTGTGCTCCTTTTCTGAGGCATTGCAGTCTCTTCACCAGCAGAAGATCCTGCAGCTTGGCATGGGAAAGGGAGGCGATGGTCCCGATTTCCGCATGTTTTCTCCATTCCATTCCTGAGTGGCTTGGCCAAAAGCAGTCTGAGTTGTTTTGGTCTGCCGCCAAAATGGCTTTACCAACACTGAGCGAAGTGCAGGAACTCAGGGTCCAGAGGATTCTTGTATCGCTTCAGGTCCAACGGGTCAGCTTGTCAAGAACTTCGGGAGCTCAAGCTCTTCCCTACGTCATGGCACCGAAGCGCATCGGAGGCATCGGGACCTGAAGACGCAGAACATCTTCCTGGCTGGGCACAGGCCTGTGGCCTTTTTTGTGCCGAAGCGAGTGAAGCTGAGTGTAAGTTTGTCAACTCCCAGGGACGCGTCACTGTTGTTGGGTGTTTTTTTTTGTGTGTTTTGTTGGGCTCTGTGCATTTTTTTGTTGAAAACCAGGGGGCTGCAAAAAAGCACGCTTTTTTTTGCAAGCCCATGCCAAGGGTTCTAAAGGAAGATTACCCCCAATGCCAGTCTGTCCTGCAACCTGACTGCGGCGCTTGGGGACCGCGAAGACCCACAAATCCATTTGGTGGGCTCCAGTTTGCGAGTCGTTTCCCGTTTTGGAGGTTCCAACAGTGGCGACCGTTTCAAGGGAAGCCAGCAAATGGATCAAATTTGCAATTTAGGGGACATCCGGCGACTGGAGGTACCCCCAAAATGGTGGTCTTCCTTGTGGTTTCCCTTTTTCAACCGCCAAAGAAGGGGCGCCACTCCAAAAAGCTCCCGGGGGCCCTTTGCTTGGCTTCCCCCGACCTGGGCGCCGAATCGACTCGAGCGAATGGAGGCAGCAGAACACGCTGGCGGCCAAGCTCGGGGACTTCGGCATCGCCAAGGCGCGGAGCTCAGAACGCATTTGGCCGGCGATGTGCGCCCGGGAAAAAACGACCGCATCTGTGAGGAAGGAGCGGGGGAAAAAGGGAGAAAAGGGGGGTCGTATATGGGTATGGGTCAAAGTTAGACCAGTTCTCGACCGCATGTTTTAGTCCTCGGTTCCATTTGCCAGGGTTGCATTTTGGGTACATTTGGGGTGTAGAGGGTTGTTCATATGGGTGTGTTGGTTGGTGACTGTTGGGTTGAAGGAAAGCCAAAAGGAGCGTTGGGATTGGAAAGAACCCCCACCGTGGATTGAACCTCCATCATAGCAATCATTTATGTTTGGTCTCGATACGCAAATGGTTGTAGCGCTTTTTTCTCCACATTTGCTCTCGAGCATTTTTTGGGCTTCGAGCAGAAATCAAGTTGGGTAGTGCTTAGTGACATGCTCTTTCGCAGAGGCAAGTTTGGGAAGAGTCAACAACGGCATGAGCGCACAAAAGTGCAAAACAAACGCAACTCGGCGCAACAAAGTGCAAACAAGTGCGAACAAGTGCAAAGGAGCGCAAATCCAAAATATGGTACGGGGAAGGGTTCCGAAGGGCATGTTTGCGCTGACAACAAGAGCGGTTGGTGCTGAATCTTTCACGTATTTTAGAACAGGTTGTCACGAGCAGAAATACTCCGCAGCAAAAGTTGATGTATCAACGGGAACATGAAACCACTTCGAGTGACCTTTGTTTTTGACACACATCTCCGCGCAGATTTTTTTTTGGCTGGCTCAAAGCTGATCAGAACATGGCAGCATTCGGACAAACAAGCAGGGGGTACCCGTACACTACGACCACCCCACTTGAACTCTGCGGAACCTTGGTCCATCTCGTCCCGAAATATGTGAGTTCGCGAATCCCAGCGAATACTGAATGCACTTTGGGGTTGCGATTTTCTGAAACCGGCGCGGAGAAACCTTTTTTCTCGTTGGGGTTCGCGGAACGCGGGGCGTGTGTGCAGCCCCACGCACCCCGCAAGGTGCTGACCTCTACTGCTGACCTTGCGAAGACGCAGGGCGCCCAGAGAAGCAGCGTAGCAATTCGGGTGCCAGCCACATGTCCTGCGGAGTTGCAGCAGCTCATTCCAACAACTGCAACAAAGATTGCGCGTGCTCACCAGGGAACGAGGGAATGAATAAGGGGGATTCCCTTAAAGGAAAGCACAAGGCATGGTTTATGGGGGTCATTCCCCTCATTCCCTGCCTATCGCACCAGCAAGAAAGCCCGGGCACGAAGTCGTCTCAAATCCTGCGCAGCCAGCAGGTTTCAGTGTCTTGGAAGTATTGCTCTTGCCTGCAGCGCTTTTGGTGCCAACGGAAGGTGCCTACTTGGATGTTCGGCCAAGTTAGCGGGTTGCTAGCCACTTGGCCATGGGTTTTCGCCCCCTAATAACAAGGTTAACCCCACTGAACGGGGGACTGCTACGTGGGTTATCATCTAGGTTAACAACTTACTAACGTGGCAACGAACACCCACGTAGGGAGCTGGTGCGTCCCTCGAAAACTTGTGCCGAGGCAGATTGGCACGCCCTTCTACATGTCACCGGTGATGCACCCAGCGAGTGGGGCTGCTTCTAGTGCACCCCCCAAGAAAAAAGAGAGGGGGATGCCCTGAGCGGTGGTTTTTGTTCTTATGAATCACTTTTTTTGTTTTTTTCCGAGAAAAAGGGGCGGATTCCTTTTGGCTTCCCTTGAACCCCTCTTAAACAAGAGTTGTTCCTCTCAAAAGGACTGCTATGGCGGCTATATGATGAATTTCTAGTGCCATGGCAGTAGCTGGAGCTCGTGTGCTGTAGCGCCATTAGGCCAACGCTTGTTGCTTTTCTGGTTTTGACCGCTTTCGTGGGAGCAACAGTTGAAGCCCTGGAAGTCATTTGACTGCCAGAAGGCACCTGTGCCCAGGAGCTCATCAACAGTCATCCTTACAGCTACAAGAGCTTGGGGCTCAGAGCCATTTTCTGGCACCTCGAGAGATTGTCAAGTTAGACTTGGTGCGACGGCGACTCCTTCGCAGAACTGGTGCGGCCCTTTGGGGCTCACTTGGTGCCCCAGATTGGTTTTATGCCCTTTTTGCGAGGAAGACCCATCTATTTGACCAAAAGGACATCGGCATTTCGTGTTAGGCTTTGGCTTGTGAAATCTGTGTTTCTTCTTTTTTTCTGCAGTGGACAGCTCCAACGGCCGCCATCATGACACTCACCTTGCACGTTCGCCGTGTGCGCGTGGCTTGGCTCGAGCTTTTGGATTCAGGCGACGTGTGGGGCTTGGGCTGTGTCCTCTACGAGATCGTGAATGGGCACAGGGCCCGGTGCCTTAGACGTCAAGTGGGCGATGGGTCATTTTTGTTCCAAATTGGACCGCCGGTTTGGGGGTTTGCCGTGTTTCCATGTACCAGGGCAAGCCATTTTGGGACTACCCTATTTTTGACCCGCACCCAAATCAGACAACCAGAGGTGGCTTGAGACTCCTGTGTTTCTCCATATATTTGACAGGTTATAGCTATAGGTAGAGTTAGCTGTCGGGTTGGGTATTCTCGTCTCATATGGTTTAGGGCATCTTCCATTACCGGGAGACTCTGCCTCACTTTCCAAGCTTGGGGCAAGGATCGGACGTGAAGGGCGAGCCTTTTGGAGAAACAAGCTCACCATGTATGTCTTTGACTGGGCAATGCATCAATTGAGTACTCGGGGCAATTCCAGAAGGAACCTGCGATCAGAATTCTGGCGTCTTCAGCCAAAGGTCGGCTCTCAAACTACTCATTTCTCTAAGGCACAACAAAATCCTGAATGGCAGCCTTGCTGGTGCCAGGATATCCTACTTCTTTGGTTCAAGGATAGAGGCAAAGGTACAAACCCTAAATCTGCTCACTTTTGCGGCTGGATGCCAGGCCTTCGATGCTCAGAGCCTGAACGGTGCTCCTGGCCGCGTTTTTTTTTTTTTTTTTTTGCGCGCAATGGCCCCGTTAATTTCAATATGGAACCACAACAAAAGTGGCTGGTGGGCATGAATGCACACCTAAATATGATGTCCGCCAAACGGTCCAGGAAAATTCATACCCACATGAACCATTCAGTATGTCCTTCTCGATCGGCTTTCCCAGAACCCTTGAAATCCCCTGAGAACCAGCAAGGAGAGCAGCAGAGCACCAGCGACACCCGGTCTGACACTTTTGCAAGCATGTGAGTTTCGAACGAAGTATCCGCCAGTTTTTAGGGCATTTGGAAGGGTCTTTGCGGCACTCGCTCAATTTTCCGCAAACAACACATTGCGGACGATGGCAAGTGTTGACCCCACATGTAAAAAAATGTGGGGCAGAGTGCTCGTTGCATGAATTGCCAATGCCAGGCTTGGCTTTGAAGATCATCAAGGGCAGCTACACGCCGATCTCTGCAAGCAGCAGCCCCAGGCCAAAAAACACGCAAACGGGTGGCCCGGTGGCCCCACAGCCAGTCTTCCAAGTTGGGCCGGCCAAGTTAGTCAGCGGAAGGCACCACTTAGGGTTTATCACCCCCCAATAACAAAGTTAACCCCGCTGAACGGGGGAATTGTAAGTGGGTTATAGCCTAAAAAAAGGCAACAGCATACCAACTTGGCCGACGGCCAAAGTACAGTCTGGGCAAGGGGCATGACACACCTGGATGGACGGCTTTGGCTCTTCCCGTGCGACGGAAGATCTCGCTGTCAGCCAAAGAAGACTGCAACACGGCCCTGTAGTCACCAGTGTCGCCGAGCTGAGCGCTTTGAAGCCCGTCGACGACGTCTTTCGAACTCTCGCAGCTCTCAGACTCGCTGGTGGCTGGCTGGGGCTCGCGGCGCGGCTCCGAGACAACTTGTAGGCTAAGCTCTCCGATTGGCAGCTTGCCGCATGGTCCACCTCAACAGCACCGCCTCAGCGCAGCTGTTGTCGCTCTTAGCTCCTGAGTCTGTGACCTTCGCCGCCTTTGGAGATACAGTGGCACAGTCCTAGCGACTTCACGCTCGAAGCCGAGCAAGCTGAGCGCGGAGCTGGCACTTCTCCGCGGAGGGCTAGCACTAGCACCAGGCCGCCATGACGCAGCGCGGGACAACAAGGCAGCTGACTTCCTTGTTGTCCTGCACCATGCTGATCTGCAAAGCCGGTGAACCTTTGGAGTTAAAACCTCGTAACTTCAAAGGAATACGTCGGGGACAGCCACTCCCGCTCGCCCTCGGACTGCAGTGTGCTCTTCTAGCAGACAACACTTGCTCAGCACAAAACATTCAGAACGTCAGCGACAGTGATTGTTGAGCCTCCGAAAGCCCGGTGCTCATCCGGCCATCATTTTCGTTGGAAATCATGTTGTTGCCTTTTTGAGCTGCTTCCAGACCAAGCTCAGCAAAATAGAAGCAATCCTTGATACAGCCTCCTCCAGACCAGTGCTTATCAGAGAAGGTCGGGTTCTCTCAAACCAATCCGACTAGTTTTTGCAGTTTAATTCCTTTTCGGGGGCAGGCTTTGCAACTAGGTTATGTTTGAGGTACCAGGTCTGCAGAAGCAAGGTGTAATCGTTACCGTTTTAGGTGGCAAACCCCCCAGAAAATGCAAATTGCATTTTCAGAGTGGCCCCCCTTAAAGGGGCGGGGATTTTGTACATGTGATGCTTTGATTCCTTAGGTTTGGTTTGTTTTTTTTCGTTTCGGTTCTTGGTGTCGGTTTGAAATCGGTTCGGTTCTGCGAAAATTAGTATGGTTGAAACGGCCATGGCCATTTTGCTTAGATTGGCTTCTATACACGGCAGACCCGCTGGAAGCAAGTTTACTGTTGAGATTTAATGTGAGCCTTTGGCTTATTTCCTCTTTCCGTGTCCACTGCACCAATCCCAAGGGTTTTGCAGGATATACAGCCACACAAAGTTGTCATTAAGGTGTGTATACCCCGTTCTGCGGGCAGCCAACCCCGCGGGCTGTTTTGCACCATGTCCAAGATCCGTCAGATCCTTGAACCCCAGTCTGAAGTTGGTGCAAATTTGAATCGTCCCGGACTCGGTGGGCATCAAAGGGAGGATTGATTCATGTCGAGGGCGGTGGAAATATTTTAACCAAACTTCGGGCATGTGACTCTGTGGCTGCCAGCCCTCCGGTTTCTTAGCTGTTTTGCTTTTTGAAGTTTAGTCGGGAGATCCGAATCTCACCCACGAAAAGTTCGTCACTCTTTAAGCCGGGGATCTGAAAAAACGGGCAGTGTTCAGAGAAGTTTTCGGGCTGTTGGCTCGGCCCGAGGGCAGGGGATCTGAGGGGATCTGATGTGAGGGCCCAGTTAGCTTGGCTCAGGTTGCGGCGCCAGCACCAAGCAGCTCATCCAGGCGATGCTCAGCAAAAACCCCAGCCACCGGCCAGGGGTCTCAGACGGGTCTCAGGCTACGGGTGGACTACGGGTGGGTTGGCAGTGGGTGACCCCACGGCAGTGGGGAATAATTAGGTGCAGTTGAGTTCCCGGAGTGGATTTTACCCTGTGTTGAACCCACTTAGACTGATCAACCGGGGTTATGAAGCGCTTACTGAGTGGGGCTGGTCACTCAAGTATGGGCCGGAAAAAACTGGCATACAACGTGCACGCCAAGTCATGGATTGAATACAGATTGAAAACGTCAGAATCGGAAGGCAAAGAACGGATGTTGGCCGGTTTAGTGGAGTCATGCCATTGCATCAAGGGATCAGATGGAATAGAGATACTCACCGTACATGGAACCAAGAGGACACACTCCAGATGATCATGACCATGCACGGAAGGACGTTGGCTCGGCTGCTTTCTGACATACAGCTGTGGGTCAAAACCAAAGGTACCATTTTGGGGTAGGTGCACTACCCATTCTAGTCTACTTTAGTGGGGATTGGGATGTTCACCTGGGGGTACGGGCTTTTGGCCCATGGCCATATTTTTACAGACACCCACAGTTCTCCCAATCGAATGTAAAGTGCATAGGGACCCTTCCCCTGACGTGCACGATCCCAGAAGAGAAGTAGCGGCTTTGCAGCACTCTGCCAGAGACGCTGTTTCCTTGTTCATTGAATGTACTCCCCTGCCATGTAACAGGGCGTCCCCCATATATTGCTACAAGCTCTTACTTGGCACGCGTCTCATCTCCAGCAAAACAGCTTTTGCAACAAACAACTAGTGCAGCACTCCAACTGTGCTAGCAAGGTGGCCATTGGCATGAGAGGCGACGTGGCTTGTAGCCTACTTACTCCAACATATCATTCTACCTGCAAGTCCTGATCTCGTGGACATAAATCCCTACCTAAATGACACCATAGCAGGTCCCTAATAACAATTCATGGAACACCCAAATCCATTTTGGGTTCCCCCAAACAACCGACAGATCCACCCCTAGAGATTTGTCATCCCCATTTGGCGCTGAACGGCCACCTGGAATGACCACACCGAGGCCTTCTCTCAAGGAGGTGCTTCACATGCCGGCCATACGGTCCAAGATCCTCCCTGCCTATAGGCGCGGAGATGGAGACCCAAATGGTTGTGTCCTTTCTTAGGGGAGCCACCCAAAATGGCGCAACAGTGTGCCTTGTGGTTTCCCTTTAAAACCACAAACACATCAAAAAGCCAACTCCAAAAAAGGACACACCCATACTGCAGTGGATGGTGGTGAAATCCGCTTCTCGAACCACGAAATGAAACCTTGCTTGAAAGCACGTTTGTTGCGGAAAGTGCAGGGGATGGAATCCAGTGTTTGTTAACTGGTTTGAAATGGATTTGTTTGCTTACAGTACCAACTGAGGTTAGGTTGATATGCTGGCGTCCATGTGCTTGAAGTCGTGCATGTCATTTTGTGAATGCGATGGAGTGTGGATTTCAAGGGAGTTGAATTTGTAGCTCCGCTGTTTGCATGCTGGAAGCCTTTTTTTCGCGCAGCTCCAAATGTAGCTTGCAACTTAGATCGATCCATTTTAGCTGCTTTGTGATGTCACAGGTTACACATTTTTTGTATGTGTTGGCTACGGGCATCCAGGCTGCACAAAAGGGTGCCGTCCTGTTTGGTATTAAAACTACCGGCGATGCTTGCAGAAACACAATATTATTGGCCCTGGTCAAAAGACCCCTCTGCTTGGATAACTCTTATGGAATTTCGACAACTATCTAGGTCTCCGACTAGTGCCCTTTTGCCCCCTTTTTTACCATACTAAAATCGACTACAGCAAAAAGGGTACCCTTATTCTAACTTCTCTGCTGGAGGACCTAGCACATACTATGTAAATTTCCAAGGAACCCATCACCAGACGGAGTTTTTGACCACGGCACGTCTAAGACCAAACATCCCACTCGTTGCTGTTGGGGGGAGGGGGGGGGGAGGATTCTCGTTCGGAACCGCCAGGAGCTGCATCGCTGCGGGGACCGCAGAAGCCAGGCGGGCGGTCTTACCTGTCTTACTTTGCGGCCGGGAAAAACACACAAGGGCTCCAGAAAACGGTTTGGAAGCGCTTTTTGCGGATTCCTTTGCCTACAGAGGTGCATCCACAAAAGCCACCTCCAATCCGTTTTCTAGAAGGGCGTGTGTTCCTTTGAGGGTTCCGGGGAAAACTACCAGTTTGGGGTCCCCGGTCTGACGAAACCAATCACATAGTCCAAGCCCAGGCCAAAACAAGTGGGTGTCTAGTGATGGATTCAGCTTAGTCCAACTCACAACCAAACCCTTCTCGATCCCCAACATCTACTGTGTAGTTCTTATTCGTTCGACTCACGAGCAAATCTTCCTCGATTCCCAACCTTAGAAGTGACAATCTGCCGGATTTCGCTTGGTCACTCTCACCAACGCTTTCTCGCTTCGTGGGGGCCAAAGTTTTTGGGCTCCGTCCCCCTCCCCTCCCTCCCAACTTAGCGCCTCCCCTCCCTCCCAGCTTCCGTGAGTTCCTGAAGCCGAGCCTCCAAGCCGAGCCATACTTTTTGCCCTGAGATCCATGGTCCTTTTGGGGACAGAAAAGGTGGCCACGCAGCTCTTTGGCTCGGAACACCTCCCGCTTCCGCCCCTCTCCAAACGCCATGGGCAAGGGCCTCGGTGGCTACGGTGAGGGGGGGGGGGCTCACGTCCTGAGTTCCGTTTCGGATCTTGAGACACTTTTTAGGGGTTTGGCCCATTTTGGTGGTCAACAAATGTTTGGCGACTGATTTTGGGCAGTCCACTCAGGAAGTGAGGGGAGGGGGAGCTGAAATGGAAGGCGAAATCTGCGAGGTGCAGAGTTTTTGTGGCGGTCCTTGAAAGGTATGGAGAGTAGGTCACATGATGATGATTTGAGGGCTGTCCGCCTGAGTATTCATCAGACTCTTGCGCCAGGAGTAGAGCATGGCCCAGAGGGACTGAGCCTAGGCTTAGGCTGAAATCAACCTAGACCTGAGGGCATTTTGTTGCCAGCTGCAGCATTTGGCTCATTGACCAGAACTATGCTGGATTATGCTGGATCACTAAAATGGGTGTGGCTCAAAATTGAACAGCTGGGGTTGCGCAGGTTTTAGTCCTTGGTTCCATTTGCCCAGGTGCCATTTTGGTACATGTGTTTGACCCACAGCCAAACGAAGGACCAATGCCAACTCACGACCTCTCTGCAAATCTATCGCACAGGTTCCCCCCCCTTAAGCCCTTGAAGACCAATCGGCTGATGTCTGGCCACTCGTTCGCGTCCATCCCGTGGATGACTTGAAGCTCCTCGAATGGCGCGGCTGCTGCGCCGGGTAGCGCCTTGGCCTCTGGCGGCTGGCTGCTTGCAGGACGCGAGGGGCTGTGATTTTCGTTGGACTTGGAAACGATTTGGGTCAACCGCTAGAACCATGGGGGCTGGCGGGGAAGTGGGGAGGGAGCCCAGATCAGCCCTTAGTCTCCTTATTAAGCCCCCCCCCCCAGCCCCCATGAAGCATAGGTCCTGGGTCAAAATCCAAATCGTACCCCCAGTGAACATCTCAATCCAACCACTAAAATAGGTTCTAAAATGCGTGGTGAATTCACCTACCCCAAAATGGGATACCATTGGTTTTGACCCATAGCCATTTAAGAATGAAGCATCAGACTGCAGGTTTTAGTTCTTTCCATTTGCCGTCCCAATTCGGACCAGCCTTTTCTCTGTCGCTCTCGACGGTTAGATGTCAGACACTTGCCAGAGGTTGCCGTTTTTGTTTGTTTTGGTTGAAAATCGATGGCGATTCCTGGTTGGCCTGGTTTCAGAATCAGAATCTTCCATGGAGATTCATCGATCTTCAACCAAAAGGACAAGTAAGGACCTATGCCTCAAGGGGGGCTGGGGGGGGGGCGGCTTAACAAGGAGTGCTGACTTGGGCTCCTTCCCCACCTCCCCCCCAGCCCCCATGGCTGTGGGTCAAAAATAGGTACCCAAAACGGAACTCTGGTAAATAAACATATGGACTAAAACCTGCGGTCCAATTCCTGGTGGTTTATTTTTGACCCATACCCCCATGGATTCTTTTCAGCCATCGTTCTTCTCAAAAACCGATCGCCATTTCCCCAGGGTTTTTTGGTGGTTTTCCAGAAAGAAGTAGGGATCCCTGGGTTCAGAATGGAAATGGACCCCTAGAACGGTACGCTCATCGAGGAGCGCCGGGCCTTTTGCGACGGCTGTCCCTTCGGCGGCGGCGCGTCTTCGAAGCCCTCGCCTTCGCGAGCGCCGCGGCGAAAGAGGGCGGCGCACGGATTGTTTGGGTGAGTCCAGAAGATCAATTTTGAAAATAAGGGCACTTAGTCCTAAATCAAAGAGGTCACTTAAGCCATTTAAAGGGCACTTAGACCCTCAGGGTTGCCCTCCCCAGCAGATCCCTCCTCAGTCCGGGCAAATCGAGCCGCAGCGACACGTAAATGCGAATGACACTCACACGGGGGCGGGACCGACGCTGGGCAAATCGAGCCGCAGCGACACGCAAATGACACTCACGCAGGGGGGATCGACACTAGCGTAAGCGATTCGCACCCCAATGACACTCAAATGACACGCTTTGACACTCAAAACGCCATGTTCGGGCTTTCCGGGTCGGCGCCAATCAAATGTGGCAGTTGTCACGCTTCGACACGGATGGCTCTTCGATTTCAACAGAATCCCAACCCCTATCAAGCCAAAAAGGGCACTTAGCAAACGAATCAAAGGGGCACTTAGGCCACCGACACTGCCTTAAGTGCCCTCGATTCAAAAACAGGCCAAGTGCCCTCCATTGGAGGGCACTAAAAATATGCTGGTTGTTTTATCTTTTAATGAGGTAGCCCATTGTTGGTTCTCATGATTTCTCCAAAGGAAAGCAAAAGGGGATGTAGTTTATTGTAATTGTTTACTGTTGGTAGATGCTGCATCCGCTCGTTGGGGCAATCTTGAAGAAGGGACAGTTCGATAGCATGTTTGCTTCCCTTGTTCAAGGTCTCACATGCCAGAACGGGGGGGGCGCCCCCGGTTGCGCCCCTAAGGTCAACATTTTTAGGGGTTTACAGACATAAATTACCTTGGGGTGTTCCTTCCAACCATTCAACCGCCATACCCAGACAGAGACAGAGCGCCTCCCCCTTTGTGCGACACGTGCCATGATTTGTCCTCGCCGCCGTTTCAGGCGGCACAAGCGGCGCCTCGCTTGGTGGAGGGCAAGGACTTCGCGGTCTTCCGGCGCGATGGGTCCACCGCCCGCGAGGCGAACTGGGGGCGTTTCGTGCACGGAGTGGGAGAGGTGTTTGGGTAGGGAGGGGAGCTTGCCAATGCACTTGGTTTGAGGGTAAGGCTTATGGTGTGGAAATTGATACAGATTGGGACAGCGTAATTCTGTTTACTTCGAAAAATGTACACCTCAGGAGTTTGCTTGGCTCAACTGGAATGCAGCCACGGCGCCGAAAAGCTGGGCCTCAAGCACGCTGGCTGAAGTGATAGCTGCCGAAAATACGCTTCCTTTTTGGTGGAGATTCCCTTCATCAGGGGCACTCCAATTCTTTGAGGGGCCCGGCCCTTACATCATTCGTAGCCCCAAGATCCAACAACCTGGGCTGATAGCAGCTGAAACCAGCTCACTGGCGCCGACAAAATGCTGCGAGTCGTCCAATTTGCTGGGGGCCGCTGGCAACAGCCTCAAGGTTCGGACAGTCACAACTGCTCGGGGGTCGCAGGGCTGCTCTGTCTCAGCTGTTTGTCGCGTTTGTTTGTCACCGGCTCTGTCGTAGCTGTCTGTCCCTGTCTGTCCCTGTCTGTCACATTGTCACATCTATCTGTCGCATCTGTCTGGCAGGCTCTGTCGGTGGGCGGACTGGCCACAGAGGCCGGATGTCATGAACAATTTAACAACCCCAAGCCTGTCGGGCGGGGAAAGTCGGACAAGTGAGGAATGAGTCGGGCAGTCGCACCACCCAGTCTTGACAGTTGCCTCCTGCCCGGAAGAAGAGGCAGAAGAAGCAGAAGGAGAGGAAGAGCAGGAGTAAGAAGCAGAGATGCCAGACCTTTCGCCAGGCACTTACCAGGTGCAAAGCAGGCTGTAGCCGGGGGGGCCGCGCCTCAACAGGATGGCAACATGACGTACCGGCCACTTTTGGGCGGTGTTTCCACCATGCGCGATCATTATTGAAAGCAACACTACGGCGCCTCAAGCTGGGGGGCAGGTTTTTTCTTTGGATGGAGCAGAACAAGAGCAGAAGAGCGCATAACTCCAGGACGTAACCCTAGTGGATCCGAGTTGCCGCTGTAGATACCTCGAGGTTTCCCCTTCTATTTGTTCAATGGTGGTGTTTCTTGGTTTCCTACTACATTGACAACCGGAAGCTCTGAGATTCATTTGAAGTCCCAAGAGCAAACGTTGTTGAAATTTCCCTGAGGTGAAGCTGCAAGATATGCTCGAGGCCCTCAGCAGTGACCCTGCGCAGAAAGAACCCCGGCTGGAGGGAAGGCTGGTGCGAGGCCACTTGCTAAGTCAATGCCTGGTCCGTCTAAGTTTGGACAGTTCTTGGAGGATGATGTTTGACGCTTGTCCAGGCTCATGTTGCGTAGCTTCCTTGTTTCAAATATAGGGCCAAAGCACTGTACCCGAAGTTCGGGGTGTCACCTGCCGCTTTTTCACATGACTGAGTCGACTTTCTGAGCGACTCAACAGTGGACCGATGTTGGACAGTAGTCTACGATGCTCCTGCACGTCAAGGGCCTTTACCCATTTGTGAATCTCACAGTTGTGTTTGTTGTAAGGTGCCACCCCTATCACTCCAAACAATCAGGTTCATGGGCTGGTCTGTATGCACCTAAATGGGTGTGGCTCAAAATTAAACAGGAGGGGTTACGCAGGTTTTGGTCCATGTTTCCACTTACCAGGGCAACCCATTTTGGAATTCCGGTTTTTTGAGCCACAGCCAAATCACACCACGTTGGGAGTAGCCGAACGAACCACTTGAGTTGGTATTCCTTTTTGCCTTGTCCCTCGTTGGGGCCGCGATCGATTGCGGGCACTTCGCCTGGATATAGCTTGGTGGAAAAACCGCATTCCCAGCCATGCCCTGAACCTTTTAGATCTTTTTAGTTGGTTCAGTGGTAGTTTCCATTTCACTCACTAAGGCGTTGGTTTGGTGGTGGTTTCCATGTAACACACCAAAAGTGAGGCACTTTTAGCAGGCGATCTGAGGCCAGTCCAGGTAGGTGATTTGGCCTGCTGGCTCCGGCCGCCTCTTTTCGGCGCTGAACACAGAAACCTCTCGCCGAGGCGATTCTGCTGGGTGAGGTTCATGACGACAAGGCGTGGTCGGGATCCGGCGGAATCTCTGGCACCAGTTTGGTGGAACCTCTCTTCCCCAGAAGCTTTGGGGGGACGTACGTTAGCAGTGTTGGGCCGACCGCCTGTTTCAACATGTCAAAATTCAACCTCCAGGAATTGAACCGCAGGTCTTAGTCCTTGTTTCCTTTTCCCAGGGCTCTATTCTGGGTACCCAACCCATGTCATAACCACCATTTGTTCCGTAACGGACTTTGTTGGTTCCCCCCAAAACAGGTCCATGGTTCAGTATAGCCGTTCTTGGCAAACACGAGAACCGCGCTCAAAGGTGCCTTTTCTTTTGTGCATTTTGCACCAACGGATGTTAGGACTTGAGAACTCTTTGCCAGCTAATGGGTTTTCCGCATTCAACCACCAAAAAAGAGGGTCACTTGTAGCAGAGCAGATTTGGCAACCGAGTTTTGGTTCTCCCTTCGATCCCTTCCCGGCACCGTTGAGGTGACGCATCACCTGCAGCTGGAGGTGTTGAGACATCTTGGCCGCGCCTGCCGAGCCCAGGGCAAGAGGACCCGCTGGGGTCCAAGACGAGAAGGGTTGGTGGGGAAAGAACCAGTTGGCTCCAAAAAAGAAAGAGAAATAAAGAAAGAGTTTGGTGGTTTCCATCTTGGCTTTACACATCCAAACCGGGGGACCGTCAATGACACACAGAGGTCTCTCAGGTCCAAGGGTTTCTCGTTGTCCAGGCTGATTCTTTCTATGGAGATGTTCGAGATGGACGTGCAGGATGTCCTTGATGAGCGCCATGGCTTTTGTTTTTTGGTTTCTTGAGCTTTGGCCCGGCTCACAGCGCCAAATCCACCGTGCTTCAGGCGTCTTTTTTGGTGCTTTGGAGCCGGATCGGCGGTTTGGGTTTGGATTTGACCCCCGGGGTTCTTCTGGGGAACCACCCCCAGTGCTGGCGTCGTTGTTTGTTGCTTGTTGTTAAAAGACTCCTTCCTCATAGTGAAGATCCCAAATTCTGGTTAGACAGGCGCAGCGTCCCCACATTTTTGGAGCATTGACGCTAAGCGTCTGCCTTTGCATTTGGGAAATGGCATTGGCAACATTCTGCAGCACCCCTCTCTCTGCGCGGGGGCTCTCAGTAGTTCCTATCCCCAATATTCACTTACCACTTGTTTCCCCGAGGTTTGTATGGTTTCCAGTTCCACCCCTCCGGATCACTGGAAAGCCGCCGGAAAGCCGTCGGCCAGTCGCGCGACGGACGTCGCGCGAGGTATGTCATTCACAAGGCCATCCGTGAGGAGGATATGCTTCTGGACACGCGGCCCTGGGGGAACTACATGGAAGACTACAGGTGCGGAACAGAAGCCGCCCCAAACACCCCCCGAAAGGGTGTTTCTTCCTTTTGGTGTCCTTCCAAAGACTATGCAGCGTATATGTTTCTCGGGTTCTTCCCAATCAATTTGCAGGATCCTTATGCCAGATGGTAGGGGCTTCACTTTTTGTGGTGCCCCACTACGGAATACAACTGGGGGAGGGAGCGAGAGATGTTTCTGGGTGGCAATCCTTTTTCCTTTGGGGGTGGGGCACACGAAATTGCAAATGCAGCGAGGCGTTCTGCAGGAAAGTCATTCAAGTCCAATGAACAGCTTCGCCGTTCAGGAAATCCGTTCCAAAGAGCCGGCAAGCTTCTTTCGTGCGTGACACGTAAGCTTTGGTTTTTGCCAAGAGCTTTTGCAAGGCATACCCTGCATTTTTTGACAAGCCTAAAAAACCTGATGGGTTTCCAGATTTCTACCCTCCCTCCCACATGGCACCTGACAGAGGGTCCCTTGAAAAGGACATTGATCGTCCAGGCTAGCATCTTTCAGCAACTGATCCTCCAGGTACCAAGAAAAAACAGATGCTACGTTGGAGGAACGGTCGAGGAATTCTTCTTAGGCCACCCACCAACTTTTATTTTGGTGTGAGGATTTTTGTATTACACCCTGGGATTACACCCTTGGGAAATGACCCAGATTGGTTCAACATCACGCGGTTTTATTCGCACATGTGCCTAAATCTCAGTTGTTCAAAGCCGACCTTTTGACCTTTTGGTTTTCCCTTTTTGCTCTATTTTTAGTAGAGGTCCCAAAAGGTTAACCTTTTATTTGCAGGTCCTTTGGGCAAGTGAGAAATGGGGTCAATACCCAGTCTTCGATCTGCGGGATTCGATGTTTCGCCGGAAATGCCTTGAGGCCGCTGGTGGAATTCTGCCGCGCAGAGGGGATTCGCGTCCTCGCGGCGCGGGGCTTGGACGTGTCTAGGGGTACCTTTTCCAGGGATCCTTTTTCTGCAAAACCTCCGGACACCCAGGAAAAGCGGATCCGGTTTTGGGAAAGAACGATGGTTGAAAAGAATCGGGAATCAACCCCTAGAATGTGTCTTTCTTGAGGTTGGGCCCCCAACATGGCGCGACGGTTTGCCGAGCTTGGTGTCCCTGGTAAAACCCACCAAGAGAGAGGGTTGCCCCCCAAAATGGACACCTGCTGTGGGTGGACGAAATCCTGCACCCAAGAAACCCTGGAAGGATGGTTCACCCCGTAAATACCAACAAATAATGGTTTTCCGTGGATTGAATGTGGTGCAGGATTTTGTCCATCCACAGTAGTATTTTACGTGTTGGGGTGGAACGAACATGAACAAAAATCAAAACTAGAGTCTGTGTTTTGGAGTACAAGAAGAAGGGTCCTTAAGATAAGTGGGTTGCAACCATGGTTAGGGCGCTTGCAACCACGGGTAAAATACAACCATGGCAACGGAAGCAGCTTAGTTGAGTTAGGTTGCCGAAACTGAATCTACCAGAACCATGATGAAGCAGCTACTGCGTAATCTACTAAAATGGTTCAGGAATAACAACACTTTTTTGTTTGGTGTGTTTTCCTCTTTTTTTTTCTGGCTGCTTTGGGAAACCGTGGCAGATCATGGTCTTCGGAGCTTAGGGACGAAACAGAAAAAACCGCCCCTGAATCTCCCTGTGAATGGTTTTCACTACCCCCACACTACTATCCCCAGCAGGTTAGTTCGACTGCTTCGTTTTACAAGGGGAGGAAGTGGTTTGGGGGCAGTGGAACCCATCTTCGAATCCATGTGCATGACTCTGAAAGCCCCAAGCTACACTTTCAGGAGGGGATGGCATTTCACCTTGCACATGCTTAAGCACTGGTCAATATTCCCGAATGACCATTCTGGGCGACTTGTTTCTTGCCAGCTTCCAGATGTGTGGGTACGCCATGAACGTAGATGCCGCAGTTCCCTTGAATTTATGCGGGCAAGCAAACGGGATGACTAAACATGGCTTGAGACCAATGACTAGGCCAGGGCATGGCAAACGATGAATGTGTTGAGTTGCGGTCTTCCTCTCAGAACGTGTTCCTGCAGAACGCCTTTAAACAAGCTTCCATTTGCTTAAGAATATTTTGTTATTTTCCCTGTTGGGTTTAAAGGGAATCTATCACTACCGGAAATATGTTTTTGTTTTTTTGTTTTTTGTTTTTTTTCCAGGGGTCTTAGCCAAAGCGCTGAGTAAACTCTGATTGTCGTCTTTTCTCGATAGGCCTTTTGTTCCGGAAGCCACGTTGCAGCTTCCGCAGCCACTTTGCCACCAGAGCGCTTTGACCGGTCCGAGACAACTTTCGCCCTGCAGCCATGACGCAGACGCTCGCCGTTGAGAAGGCAGCCTTCTCTCCGGGCCACTCTCAGAGCCCCACTAAGAGGCGGCTTTGGCTAAACTGAGCGATTCTTCGTCAAGTCGCGCGGCCAGATGTCCTTCTCTCGATTTCCTATGAATCATCCTCTCTGAAGCTGTTTGTTCCTTGATGTTTTTTGTCTCCCTTTGGATGGCACGAAGACGTCTCTCAAACATTGAAAGTGAATGACAATGAGAGAAACAACCACGTTGGTCATGCGGGTGTGGGTCAAAAATAGGTACCCAAAAATCGCGAACTAAAATCCGCGATTCCCAAGTTCCCCTGGTTTCATTTGGACCCATACCCACGACAGGGAGAAAGCGGCCCAGATCCGGAAGAGCTTCCAGCGGCCCAAGTTTTGGGTCATGGGCTTCGGGTGGTGTTTGGCGGCCTGCGCCGGTGCGGCCAACGTCATTGCCTTCAAGAGCTGGAACTTGCAACGTGGGTTGCAACATGTGGGGTTTGACCATGGGCTAACTTGTCCCATGTAGTGGGAAATCGATTTTGTTTTTAGCGAATTTATTGAATGGTCATCCCATGTAAGGGACCTTTTGATCAACCACCACGTGAGTATGTGTCAAAATCGGGATTTGGACACCCCCGAAATGGTTGGTGTCCGTCGGGTTTCCCTTTAAACGGCCCGCAAAAGGGTACCCTCAACAAAACAGATACGCCCATGTGTTGAAACACCCCCTGGCCAATTCGAGCCAGCAACGAGCACAGCGCAAAGTCTGCTGCCTTGAGTACAGCTTGTTTGCTTGGTTCAGCAGGTTCGCACTGATTGGGGGCTTGGGCATGACCTCACGCGCACGACAAATCCAGGTACGCGTCCCACGTGACGGGCAGCACGTCCGCCATGGCCTTCCGCTTGGAGGGTTACCATCAGGGGGAGTTCGGTTCGGAGAGTTTCCGCGAGGCCTTCTTCCTAGTCTTCTCGTTTCTGGTGGGCGCCTACACGTGCGGCCTTCTCATTGACAAGAACCAGGTGGCTTGAGCGGGTTGGTGGCAGACGAGTTGGCTTCTGTGATGCTTTGAGTTGAACTCGGGCCAGCAGACTATTGCAGCATGTTTGTCCCATGGAGCGTTGGGGTGCAGTTGGAAAACATACCTTTGGTTTGCATCGCCATGGGGGGACCTGGCTAGGTGCACTTTGGAGGCAAGTCCTTCTACGGCCTGGCCCTTCTTATGAACTCGTCCCTTCTTATCCTTGCCGCGTTCATCCCTGGTCGCCTGCTCCCAACGTGCTTCGTTGCTGGCGCATGTGGCTTGCAGAACGCCATGTGCACCTCCCACTTCGGCGCCATCGTCCGGACCACGCACGTGACTGGCACGGTAACTGTCACTTGCCCGCATTCGGCACCCACTCAAAACATTGTATCAACCGGCCAGTTGAATGACAGTTTGGCTGACTTTTTGCCGAGGACATTGGGTCCACGTTCGGCCGCATCAGCATGATCTATCTCCGCAAGGGCTGCCGACGCTCCCGGTTGGACGACATTGAGCGTGCTGAGGTGGGTGTAGACGCCAGGAAGCTTGCAGTGCTCTTCGGCCTCTGGAGCTTCTATTTCGTGGGCGGCCGCTCGTCCGTTTTGATTCTGTCAGGCGCTGTGTCTCAGGTTTGTGGAAGGCTTTTCTTTGGATTCTGGCTTAGATCCCAAAAAGTCAGGCTTTTCTTGAGAGAGAGTACCCTACTGCGATTCCATTCCTCTCATTGCACAAGAGCTGGGTCCTGTCTGGGCCCCTGTCACCGGGTTTTTCCAAGACTGACCCGGGTTTGCCTTAACCCAGGGCTGATCGGCATCTACATGGAGAACCTCATTTCCGGGCCTCGCGCCCTGCTGGTGCCGGCCTTTGTCACTGGCAGCCTGGGGCTCTTCTACATGGCCTTCCGCAACCTTCTCAAGGCAATGATTGCCGATTCGATCCGATCTGCTGGCGGATGACGAATCCTGCCATGTTGCAAGTGTGCAAGTGAGGCTTTTAAGGGAACAAGAACCCGCCACCCCCCGAATTTGCCTTCCGCAACCATCCAAGGCAAGGGATGGCTCCAGCCCCTTTCGATCCAAAGGGAGTCGGCCGATTCCTGCCAAAGTGGCAAGTAAGGCTTGTAAAGGAACAAGGACCCTCCAAGGCCCCCCCCCCCCCATTTTGCTGTCATTCACCCATGGTGTTGGGGTTGGTTTGCTGGCAATATGGGGGTGCAGGGGCATCCGCCGTAATGCTTGTCAGCTTGGAATGCAGTGTCGATTCTGTTGACATGCTTGCTTGCCTGTCCTTGGTGTTCAATGAGTTGTGCTTGACGCACTTGCTACGGTTGCTGTGACCGTCTCCGTCGTTGTTAGAAAGACACAGCTTCCAGGTGCGCAAAACCGGAAATGACTTGCCGCAAACACAGAGTGATGCTACCTGCTGGCTTTGGTCGAAGTTGCACTGTTATCGCGGCTGCGTGTGGTGGGTGTGGTAGCTTGTGGTAGCTTGTGGTAGGTTGGAGTAGCTTGGGGTAGCTAAGGGTAGCTAAGGGTAGCTAAGGGTAGCTTGGGTACAGTTGACTGTAGGTTGACTGTCAAAGTGTGATTACAACTCATGCTAGCAGCGTCCGCTTGCTGGATCTTTGTCTTACCGTCGTTCCCTCGGCCTGATCCAGCTCTCAGCACAGCCACCCTCACGCCTTGGCTCGGCTTCCATGTCAACGCAGGAAATTGCATTTTTTCGCCGCCGGCACAGATAGAACCGCCGGCACAGGAATACTTCAAGAAGCTGGAGCAGGAGCGGTTCGAGGCAGACCTGAAGCAAGCTCAGGAGGCCATTGCGCACATGGGCACGCGCCTGCATACCCTGGAAAGTGGCAACCACGATGGACTGGTGGTCGAGTTGGACGAGGATTTGTCGTGTGTGCCGTTTGCCTGGGGGAGGTTTTTCCCGACTCACCAGGCCCTGATTCCAAGTACCACTTTTAATTTTCGGGGTGTGTTTTGAGGATACCGCTGCTGGAGTGGTTTAAAGGGAAACCAAAACGGCATGAACCATTCGTTTGGTCCTTTATTTGAAGACACCCCCATACGGAGGTTCCCTTGTTCAATTGAAAGCGTACCACATCGGGATGTTTGTTTTCAGCAACGATTGAAGCGGATTTCTCTCCAGGAGATGGGACAAATGATCGAGGCCCTGCATGAGGTGGAGGCGGATTTCGACAACCTCTGCCGGCAGCACAGCAAGGACTGGGGTCTGAAAATTGCAAAATCTACTTTCACCCAGTGGGCACACAAGAGATCTCGTGATGTACAACCTAGAGGTAAGAAACCCTGGCTACCTATGGTAACTGGACGCACTGGGTCAGCACAACATACGAGACGGAATCAGAACATGGGCATGGGTCAAAGTTAAACCACCAGAGGACCGCAGGTCTTAGTCCACGTTTCTATTTACCAGGGTTCCATTTTTGGTACTTATTTCTGACCCACACCCACATGTGAATTTGCGCCGAGAGGACTCTGTGAGAAGCCAGAGACCGACTGTTTGAGCAATTGGTCGCTGCAATGCTGAGGGGCTTGCGCAAGCGCGCGAAGAATTTGCTGCTTTTCGGGCCCTAGGCCAAGAAGAGAGTCTGATAATTCACAGGGCGTTTGACCACCCAAGGCCACCTAAGTGATATCTTGCCAGTGCGACCTGTGCGGGAAGCCTGATCCGGATATTTCTGTTGCCAGGTCCTAAGTTTTATGGCAGTTTCCAGGTCGACTTCTTCTCATTGTCGCACTGCAAGATTGTGGCTTGCAAGTTTTGGGCATGGCGGCCTGTCGCTAGAGACAGAAGTTGCCAGCGGCGCATCTCTGTGGCCAGCAGACCGGGTAGAGCCGTCATCCGACCTTGCAACTGCATCGTAGTACAGTGTGCATTGCGCGTCAATTTGGTGGGTGACTGCTCAAAGTGTTTGCAGAGCCCGGTGGCTCAGGGTATGCAACCAGGCCAACATGCACGGTTCGTGGCTCGACAAGAGATTCGAACCGAAACCCTCAGACCTCGCGTTGGCGCGAAAGATGGCGACGAGCATCCCTCCTTGGTGGCTCCCAGCCATCCCCTTAGCTTTGTAGCTTTTTTGGGTTTAGTGGGGAGATCCATTTAACCCACTAAAAGATAAACTTTTAGCAGGGGATCTGAGGGCAGCCAAGCCTCAATTATGCTATGGGCGTGCTGTTTTCAAGCTGATTTCTCCTGCTCTCCGCTGGCAAGCAGCCCAGCTTTTTTTTTGGAAGCATCAGTTGTTTAGGTGACGTTTCTGCCAGGTGCAGACACCTTTCAAACCTGGCTTTCGAAACGTTTAACGCGAGCTTCGCCTACGTTGGGGGCAATACCTCGACCTGATATGGGGCCTTTTGGAGCCTTAACCATGTCTTTGTGGCTATCAGAGGGGTTGCGCTTACGGCGAGTCTCTTGCTCGGTACTCAGCACTTGTTGTAAGTGACCCGCCCCTTTGAGTAAGGATGACGAATGAGATTGGACCGACCATTTTGCTCAACATGGTTGGCCCACGATGTTTGAAACAAAGAACTGCCGCTCGCCAGGTCTTTCGGACAAAAGCAAAACAACATAATAAACAAAAAGAAACAAACATCAGCTGCCCTGCTTTCCCTGGGCAGCCAACGTCCGTCGTGTTCGTGTCAAGCTTGCATGGTGCGTGATGCACATTGCTTGCAACTTGAAGAACCTGTGTCTGTAGCATCCTGTAGCTGATAAGGCTGCGGGTCAAAACCAATGGTACCATGTTGGGGTAGGGGCACCACCCATTTTAGTCTATTATAGTTGGGATTGGGATGTTCACTGGGGGTACGGGCTTTTCACCCATGGCCATGAGAATGGCCATGAGAGGACACAGAGGGGGGAGCATCACCTAGTTTTGTATGATAGTCCGCTTGCTTTGAGTGCGCCACTGGGTTCTTCAGCGGTACCTCGTCCAGGAAAATGAAATGGCTAAAGAAGAAACCGTAAGCACATTTACATCCCTTGGTTGAAAAGTCCGGTCTTCCGGTCTGAGGAAAAGTTATGAGTGCTTCACTTTCCTTTGGAGTGCTTGGAGCGGACAATTCCATTGCTCACTTTTCTTGCCAGGCATCCCCTTTCTCAATTTTTAGGAGTTTAGGGTTTAGTGGTCCCATTTTGCCCCACTCAAAGGTGGTGACAATTGGAAACAGGTGAACTGAAAACGGGCCCAGTGGTGTAACCGGGTCTAGGTCCCCCTGTGCCATTTCTCACCCTTGTTTGGGGGAGGGTTCCCCTAAAAAAAAGCTACAGACAGAAGGGAGCCGGGTTTTAGAACCTTGGGGTTGAACGGTTCGACACCGATTCTGGGGAAAAGCTCACTGAGGCCAACGCGCCCAGAAGGTACGTGTCCCTCGTCTCCCGCCGGGGAACTGAAGTCTTGGACACCCTGCGGGCAACTCGGAAGGCAAAGCCGGCAGAAAACGCGGCGGAGGGGTCGAGAAGAGGAGAACAAACGACACCCGACCTATCCCCACCCCCTGAAAAATGGAATGGAGGCTTCCATTTGTGGTTCCATTTTAACTTTATGGGGAATACCCTTTTGGTAGCGGGGATCCCGACCTGCTTCTCCAATTCCCCTGGTAACTACGCTTTTTGGACCAACAAGTCGCATGTTTCTCCCGCACCGGGTGCTGGTGAACTTTAGCCTAGGACACACCTGAAACCTGTGTCAATCAAAGCTCAGTGGTTTTGAGCTTTTTCAAACGAACCAGGCCGTTGCTATGTTTTTCATCGTTTTGAGCGCCGCTAATTGGATCGCACAGCTGCCCAATTTGTTAGGATCCCTGGTTTATGTTGTCAAGGTTGCTTTTATTTCATCCATTCTGGCAAGCAGAAGAGATACATGAGCGTGACGCCATTGAAAGACGCTTTGGGTGGAATCTTTTGATCGAACCGCAAGCATGTTTCCCTAGCTTTCAGCGAGGGTTCCGGATGTGGCTCTGTTGCGGATACGGTGGATGCCCCAAATCTTGCCTTGAAAGCCTGTATCAACGGAAGTTTGTGGTTGGTTTACTTGCAACATGGCAGGGACCCCCCAAATAGAAGTGGATGTCGGTTTTCCTTGTGGTTTCTCTTTAACCCCACCACAGAGGCTCCCGATTGATTTAGGGCCTTCAAACAACCTGGTTTTGAGACCCCCAACCACCTCCGGGGTGTCTAATGGGGTCAGGGCTTCCATTGAAAGCCTGCTAGGAGCTGGGCAGAAAACGGGGAGGTGCCCTAAAACAACTCGCCGAGCCGATTGCCTGCCCGAGGCCAAGGCCGCCGGAGAGCTGCGGCTGCCGGCGCTGCCACTGCCCGCGCCCTCCGAGGCCTATCGCCGGAAGTTTGCGCGGGGGCCCAGGGACTGAAGCGAAACAGCCGAGTCCGGGGTTTGGTTTGGGGACAGGTTGAAATTATTTCCGGTGAGGGTTTTGGCCTCGGCCGGTGGGACTTTAGCTTTTTGCCAACGAATGGGGTTTCCATTAAACCAGTTATTCACTTTTAGCAGGGGAGCGGATTTCGCAACAGAGGTTTGGGGATTCGAAAACTTCGCCCTAAGGTACCACAAACAATTGTCTCACATGTTGGCGGCCATTTTTCTTGCTGATAGGGAAAGACCCAAGGTTGGGGAATGAACCGGTTTTGGGGATTCCCTTACATGAAGCCATAGGGGATGGTTCATAGGGGTCAGAGGGCCAGAGGGCCAGAGATCGGCCTATTTTATGGCGAGCTCACCTGGGGCCGTGTGTGTTTTTTTGAGGGCCAGATGTCCTTTTAGGGTTTGATGGGTTTGATTAAACATCGTGGGTTTGGTTTAAATAAGTTGTTTGTCTTGGTTTGGTTAGGTATAGTTCGTGGTTCGACCAGCAGTCCGGTTATTTTTTTCATGTGGTTCTGAACATCACCCATTTTGGCCCATTTTCGGTGAGGTTCCCCTAGGGGTGATGGTTTTGGGGTTCCACTGGTTTAGATGGGTTTGATGCCCCTTTTTACCTATATTGAAACCACCCAAAAATGCGGTGCTGGAAGAAAACCAAAAGGAAGCCAACCATCTTGGGGGAGTGTTTTGTGTGGTCCCCCTATCTTGAGACAAACCCTGGTATTCTTTGGGCGGGGGATAGAGGTGGAATTGACGTGCAGATCGCAAATTCCGCGATTCGTTCTGCCATTGATGAATGACACAAGAGAAACGGAGACAGTTTAGTGTGCCTTTCCGATATGAGCAGTGCTTGTTGTGGCTTGAGTTCTGATCCTTGCAGCATGCCACACTTGGACTCAAGGAGCGCCCTCCGCCCCCCCGTCTTAGAAGAGGTTCCTAAGAACCTTCTAGAATCCTTTCTGCTCAAGCAGGCATCTCTACTTTAGTCGAGATCATTTTGCGTCGCCTTGATTCGTGCGCATGCGATATATCGTGAGGTGAATGAGCACGGTAGCACTCCAACAAGGGTGACATCCCCTCCACAAGATGTTTGGGCCAGAAAACAACATTTCGACTTTCGAGGAAGACTAAGTTTAAACTAGAGGCAGGACAACAAGCTGAATTGTCCGCTGTTTCAGCCGGAAGGCACGGAGTTGAAACTAGAGGGAAATCAACCAAAGATCTCATCTAAGGAGGAGACTATGTCCATGCCCGCGCTGCAGAGCAAGAGTGGCAGTTGCCCATTCATTGGCTTCAGCAGCGGCTGGGACCAGATTTGCTTTGCAGCTTTGCTTTTCCGGATTGCGTCAGCTGGACTGCCTGGTCTCATAGGGGTTGTGAGGCGCTGAAGGCGACTTGTAAGTGGCTGTGGTGGTCAAAACCAATGGGATCCGATTTTGGTTGGTAGGTGAACTTACTACCCGTTTTAGAACCTATTTTAGTGGTTGGATTGGGATGTTCATTGGGGGGTAACCGGGATTTTGGCCCAAGGCCAACCTTTGTCACCAGTTAGATCCCTCAGATTTATGGACGTTTCGGATGAGGCTCTGCAAAAAGTACGCGCTTGTTTTTTGTGCGTCTCTTGAAAGCTTGAGGATTTGGCATCTCAAAAAGAACGCCGAGCTTCCGAACCGAGGTGATGACTTGCGGAAGGTGCGGCCTGAAATGATGCAGGCAAGCGGGTTCAAGGGTTCCTTTGGCCGGTGGGAAGGGGCATGGTGGTTTTTCACTGGCATTTTCCTTCGGTGTTCGTTGCCAAGTTAAGTGGTTGGTAACCTGGAATCTGGTTTTTTTTCTTTTGGGATGCATTGTACATGTTACCAGCGACTCAAAGCAACGAATAGAATATGCATTCTACAACTGGGCCTAAGTCTAATCATGGAATATAACTAGCTTAGAATTCCCAAGTTAGGTTAGCCCAGTTGTTGTGGGGATATATCCCAAGTGGCTTATCACCTTGGCAACGGACATCCGAGTGGCCACCTCAAAAAGGGTACCAGCCACACTGTGCCAAGCTGGGGGTGTTTCCTAGAATCCTAGCCCGCACCCTCCGGGTCGTAGGATGACTCTTGGTGTTTTTTTCACTTATGTGATACAAGGGAATCTTCCCTTTTATATGGTGGATTAGTCCTTGGGAAGCCCATTTTGTTGTATTACAGTTTCCCACAGCCCTGCCTGCCCATCCTTGTTTCTCGGGGTCTAATCAAAATGGGATCCCAGGGGTTGCCGGCGAGCGTGGCCCGTCTTGAAGGTTAGGGGGCCGTCTGAACCAAAGATGACTTGCAACTCGCCCTGTTGCCGTTCTATGAATTCCCAGACCGGCAGTGCCCTTGCTGCTTCTTTCAAACTTTATTTTCCCCTACTCAATTCCCCCCCCCCCCCGACCGAAAAAGAGAAGGGGGTATCTACCCAGCTTTCTTTTGTTTGGGGCGTCCCTTTCATTCCCCCCCCCGAATCCGAAAAACCGGAAGAAAGACAGAATCGAAACCGCTTCGGGGTACCTCTTTTCCCCACCTGATACCGTTTTTTGTTTTTGTTTTTTCCCCGGTCTCCCCGGTCTCTCCAGTCTTCGGGGGCCTCTTTCTGAGCGTCGCCCAGCGCGCCTTCAGCTCCGAGGCGCAGCAGCTGTGGGACCATTCCATGGCCAAGTCCCTGGGGGAGCAGCTGGGAGCCGAGGAGGCGCCAGACGCACCCAGAGTCGAGTCTGGAGCCCTCCACTCGGCTCCCAGCCATCCGCTTCGACTTGGATCTTTTTAGATCCTTTGAGTGGGTTTAGTGGGGAGAACCGAATTTGACCCAATGCAAAGGGAACGGCAATTGCAATGGAAAAAACCACCGGTCAACTGGCAACTGTTTGAAAGGGAATTTCCAAGTGACCCCTGTCTTTTGCCCCTGAAGGGTCCTGTATTTTTTCCCAAATCCACCACTTTTTGCCAGGCTGCCAGGGGAAGTGTCAAGATTGGATTCCAAGACAACCATAACTATGACCCTTTGACCCATTCGAAGCCTGAATCATGCGTCGGGATCTGTTTGTCTGTCTGTGTGTTCTTAAGGGCACCTTTTGCTTGGTGGTTTTAAACAGAACCCGCAAGGCCAACCAGCCTTAGGGTCTCCAAACTTTCTCACTTCCCGAGTTCCCACTCTAAATTCCACTTTTTGGTTTTTTGGCCCATTTGAGTGGCAAAATTCAACCGTTCGGTTCCAACTGGTTCCTGATTTTCCCTTCTCTAGTGGCAACAAAAACAAAAGAGTTTGGTCCCAACTTGGCCCATGAACCTAGAAAAGTGCCCATTTCGGGCACTTTTCCATGGAAAAAAAAAAAAAAACGCGCGCCGCACGAAGCACATCCGCAGCATCACGCATCGAAGCCGCGGCGCACGCTCTCGATCCGGGAGGTAACGGTGCTGCACCTCTGCGGCGCCTTTCACTGTGCCCATGGCCTGGGCATCCCGGAAGCGCTGCCCAGGCGCGGAGGGGGACGCGGATCGTTTTGGGGGACGTTCTTTTCGGAGCCGCGGAGGGGAGGGACGGTTCACTGCGGAGGTGTTTTTTTCCAGGGAATGACCACAACCACTGGAAAGTAACTTGTTTGGGATCCCACAAAAAAAAAGGAAGCCACCATTTGGATGGTGTTTTGGGACGGTTTTGGATGGGACGTGTCTTGCTGGTTGTCTCAGGGAATGACAAAGAGTGGGACGTTTTGGGGAATGAACGCCACCAGTTGGATGTTTTTGTTTTTTTTCTTCTGGGTCATTTCCTGAGAACCAGCTTTTGAGTTGGTACCCTTTTTCTGTCTTTTTCTGCGTCCAACCTTTTGCCTTTTTGGCGTTACTTAAGCAAGCCATTTTGCTGTTATAGCCCCACAACTTGCCTTACGTGTGTTTTGTTTGCTCTTTGCATTGGGTTTTCCTTCACTTCTCCCCTCAACCAGCAAACAGTGAACTTTCTAAATTGTCTTAAGATTGAACTCTTGCTTGGTTCGTGGGAGGGGTCTCCGATTTCAAGGGCCAACCCTTCTGCAAGGTTCGATTGATGCGTGGACAACCTCCCCCTGGTTGCTTTGGAAGTCACCCTCTTTGACTTTCCAGCGGCAGGTACTGGCCTGCCGGCGGCGAGTCGTGGCTTGGGTGAAAGTCCGGCAAAGGGAGGGGCATGTCCGCGCGCTGAACCGCTGCTCGCGGTTAGTTTTTGGGTTCCACCGTTGTCTTGTGCTTCCATGTCGCAGTGGAACATGGTAACATGGGAGTGTCTGTTTTTAGGGGACCCCCAAAATGGTGGCTGTCCTTTTAATTTTCCTTCAAAACCAACCCACAGAGGAGTGCCAACACAAACACACACACACACATGTCACACACACACACACAGACACAGACACAGACACAGACACAGACACAGACACAGACACAGACACAGACACAGACACAGACACAGACACACACACAGACACACACACAGACACACACAGACACACACAGACACACACAGACACACACAGACACACACAGACACACACAGACACACACAGACACACACAGACACACACAGACACACACAGACACACACAGACACACACAGACACACACAGACACACACAGACACACACAGACACACACAGACACACACAGACACACACAGACACACACAGACACACACAGACACACACAGACACACACAGACACACACAGACACACACAGACACACAGACACACACAGACACACACAGACACACACAGACACACACAGACACACACAGACACACACAGACACACACAGACACACACAGACACACACAGACACACACAGACACACAGACACACGCACACACGCAGACACACGCAGACACACGCAGACACACGCAGACACACGCAGACACACGCAGACACACGCAGACACACGCAGACACACGCAGACACACGCAGACACGCACACACGCAGACACGCAGACACACGCAGACACACGCAGACACACGCAGACACACGCAGACACACGCAGACACACGCAGACACACGCAGACACACGCAGACACACGCAGACACACGCAGACACACGCAGACACACGCAGACACACGCAGACACACGCAGACACACGCAGACACACGCAGACACACGCAGACACACGCAGACACACGCAGACACACGCAGACACACGCAGACACACGCAGACACACGCAGACACACGCAGACACACGCAGACACACGCAGACACACGCAGACACACGCAGACACACGCAGACACACGCAGACACACGCAGACACACGCAGACACACGCAGACACACGCAGACACACGCAGACACACGCAGACACACGCAGACACACGCAGACACACGCAGACACACGCAGACACACGCAGACACACGCAGACACACGCAGACACACGCAGACACACGCAGACACACGCAGACACACGCAGACACACGCAGACACACGCAGACACACGCAGACACACGCAGACACACGCAGACACACGCAGACACACGCAGACACACGCAGACACACGCAGACACACGCAGACACACGCAGACACACGCAGACACACGCAGACACACGCAGACACACGCAGACACACGCAGACACACGCAGACACACGCAGACACACGCAGACACACGCAGACACACGCAGACACACGCAGACACACGCAGACACACGCAGACACACGCAGACACACGCAGACACACGCAGACACACGCAGACACACGCAGACACACGCAGACACACGCAGACACACGCAGACACACGCAGACACACGCAGACACACGCAGACACACGCAGACACACGCAGACACACGCAGACACA